TTTGCATAACATGTAAACAGAAGTGTATAGCTGTATGCATAACTGGATATATAAACATGTTTTTATCTTTAAAAAGAAAGAATTTAGGAGGAGTCCAGAATAGCAGGTACTGTGTCTGCTGACAAGCTGGAATCTCCACTTCACGTATAGGACTAAAGTAAAAGGAGGAGAATAACCCTACAGGGAAAGGCAAAAACACTTACCAAGTTTATGAAGGGTAAGGATATTTTGAAAATAGATGTCAGAACAGTTAAAGCAACAATTTTTTCAAAAGTTTTCCAGTAATTGAACATTGAGAAAGAATGAAAGAAAGAAGACAGATATCCCTGAATTACAGATTTGTGGTCAATAATTAAGATGTTGGACTGCAAGAAAGACCAATCAATCACTTGCTAGTCACTGTGAATTAATGAACAGCAAGCAGAAATTTTAATCTTTTGGGCCTGTGTTGCAAGCAGGCAATGAACCAGCTTTGCAAGTTTGAAGGAAAACAGAAGGGGAAGACAGCAGATAAGGTGGATAAAGAGGAGCAAAGAAATTACAGGAACGTCCTTGGAAGAGCTATCGGTTATACAGAGACATGTTGAGATGGTGAACATTTGTCCATATAATCACCAGGAGTCAAGCCTGACTCAGTGGCAGCTAACTTACAAGGTATCCAAAACGTATGCCATCATTTCACCAGACTAGCTACAAACGTTAGTCCCTAATCTTACACATGTGGAGATGAGAACATAAATGCATTGGGATAATCCAGTAAGCCAGGAGTTTTCTTTGAATTCAACTGGGAGCTCCTTCTAAGCATATTTTGAGCTGACCTTTAGTACTAAAAACATCTTTAGGCGGATCAGGTATAAATTAAGCCCCAGGACATCCTTTCTCCCATAATACTTGGCATTTCTATAAGACAAATATTTCAAAGGGCTGTATGCATAAAATCTTCATTATACAGTATTACCTCTCATCAGAATCGGTTCCCTCCATATAAAAGTCAGATTCAGACTTCTCCTGCAGAAACCTGTCCCAACTTTCTTTCTTAGCCTGAGAAAGTGTCTGCAGCATATCTTTGGATGTCACTTCCTGAGACAAACCCTTTATTCTCATTAATCTTCTCTCTGAGGAAAGAAACAAACTAATAAAGGAAAAATGCATCCTGCAGGGAAATGAAAACCAGTGGCCAAGTTAAACCCAGAAATGTTCAGTCCAGCTCTTGAGGTTTTGTATAAATTGTAATCACCATTTTAACACTGTGTGTATCCTGACAGACCTTGTTAATGTCACAGCTTCATGTCAGAGTTTTATTTTGTTGGGGATTGGATAAAAAAAAATCAGCATGTAGCCACTCAGATAGCCATCTTTTTTTTTTTCTTTCACTGCCCAAAATCCAAATTAGAATATGCTTTGACAAACCTGGGCATCAAAGTGGCATTTATATTTAAATAAGAAGCAGAAAGGATTTACATTCCTTGAGAGACTATGGCTCACCATTATCCCTAAAAATATTTGAAATGAGAAAACTGACAGATGATTACATGCAGAGCAGGCAAGTAGGAAATGGAAATCTTTATATTCTTCTGGAAGTTCATCTGCATTAAGAGAAGTGCCCATTCTTCTTCTTCCCAGCTGGCTAATAGATGAGTTAGATTTCCATCTTTCAACATGGTAAGTTACTGAAAAGAATGATGTTACATTCTTTGCAGGGTTTCATCAAGGAACAAATTAGATAAAAATGGGCCCTGAAAGATTTTTTTTCTCACATGCTCTGTAAAATTTCAGGTAGGAAATATGATATCTTATCATCACAAACTTCTCAAAAATAAAATGGGAATCTTTTCTTTCAACATGGTAAGTTACTGAAAAGAATGATGTTACATTCTTTGCAGGGTTTCATCAAGGAACAAATTAGATAAAAATGGGCCCTGAAAGATTTTTTTTCTCACATGCTCTGTAAAATTTCAGGTAGGAAATATGATATCTTATCATCACAAACTTCTCAAAAATAAAATGGGAATCTTTTTGATGTCTCAGAATATCAGACCATATCCAGAAAACGAGTAATCATTCATGCAACTGATGAACCTCACAGATGTGTTTATAAAGTACATCTGAATCAGGCTTATTGACATTGACCATAATCCTTTAAAGCAGTGCTTTTCAAACGTGGCAACTTTAAGACATGTGAACTTTAACTCCCAGAATTCCCCATCCAACATGGTGGCTGGGGAATTCTGGGCATTGAAGTCCACACATCTTAAAGTTGTCAAATTTGAAAAACACTGCTTTAAAATAAGTGGCTTTTTATTATACACAAATATCAAAAAAGACTGTTGACATATGGGTAGACTCACTGTTCTTTGTCCTATATGATCCTCCCAATAATATAATTATCTGTCACTGGGATTATAGGATTTGAAGTCTAACACACCCAGGTTGAAGAAAGCATCAACTCCTGGGAATATCCCTAGATCAGGAAGTTCCCACGTACTGACCTAAAGATGCCAAGTAGAGCTCTGAATCTTTCAGTGGCATCCAGGGCTTCTCATTCACTTGCAAAGAGGGGTCTGTTACTTCCACCTGATTCCCCATCACATGAACATAAGAATCTGCAAAGGAATCTGAAAATGCATTACTGGACTCTTCATTCTGGTCTGGATGTGGCAGAGATGAACAGATTTCGGCCCAAAGGTCCTGGCTGGAAATAGCAACC